GGGGGGGGGGGGTCTCAATCCCACAACCCTGAGATCGTGACCTGAGCCAAAACCAAGAATCGGATGCTCAGCCCACTGAGCCAGGCGCCCCTATTTTACCACAATTTTTTTACGGAAGGAAGTGAGGCTGTGCTCTGGGTTGGATGATGTGGAGAAATGGAGGTCATCAGAGGTCTCGTCTAGAAGGTGAGGAGGTGCAGGGTCGGGAGCCATGGTTAGCATGGGAAGTGTCACTCGTGCTGGCCTGCATGGGGAACGGCCGTCTCTTTGGCGGTTTGGACAGTGTTCTTGTTTCTGCTCTGGAGAGAACCTGTCACAGCAGCGGGGAGAATCCATCCCTGGCCCCACAGCTTTGTCCCCCCCAGGGCAGAGTCACTGGGTATCTGCCTGGTCTCCACCCTTGATAAGAGATCACACATTATAATTGCCTGGAGCACCAGGCAGTGATTTTCAAAATCTGTGCACATCAGAATCCCCTAGAAGGCTTGTTAAAATCCAGACTACCTGGGCCTCCCCCGCCCACCCCCCCAGTTTCTGATTCAACGGGTTCTGGGGGCGGGACCCCGAATTTGCACTTCAGAAAAGTTCCCAGATGATGCTGATGCAGCTGGTCTGAATCAGGGACCATACTTTGAGAACCAGCTCTGTAGGGGAACGCCTCCTTTGTCCACATGGGCCCCTACCACTGGCCTTGGTCCCAGAGCTTAGCTTCTTTTAGGGGCAGGAAGAGGGCAGCCAGGCAGAAAGGGGAGGATGGAGAGGTGAGCCGTGGCAGGATCTTGCCGCCTTGGAACAGCTCTGAGGTTATTCCCAGAAAACAGAGGAGAGAGATAAGAGATAAGACAGGCAGGAGCAACAAAGGCAAACAGAAAATATATATGAGAGAGAAATTCAGGGTGCCTGGGTGGCTCAGATGGTTAAGCGTCTGCCTTCGGCTCAGGTCATGATCCCAGGGTCCTGGGATCGAGTCCCGCGTCGGGCTCTCTGTTCCTTGGGAGACTGCTTCTCCCTCTGCCTCTCTCTCTCTCTCTGTCTCTCATGAATAAATAAATTAAATATTAAAAAAAAAAGTGAGAGAGAGAAATTCAAATGCATTTTTCTTATATGCCAGGCACTATTCTAAGTGCTTTATAATCATTAACTGGGGTCTCGGCTGGCTGCACCCCCAGCGTTAGTCCCTCCCTCTACCCATCTGTCCGGCACCCTCTCCCCTCCCAGCTGGGTGGACAGGACACGGTCCTCCATCCCTCAGAAGACTCTCGTGGCCTGTCACTCCT